AAATATATGTTGAATATAGATTATATTTTTTAGTCAAATGCAGTTTTGTTTTTTCGTATTAAAGTTAGTCTAACCAAAGGTTATTGAGTGCACTAACTTAATATGTAATAATGACAACTTAAAAACTATTCTATCTCCCTTTCTCTTTTAAATAAATATACATTTCAATTGGACAAATATTTTTAGGTAAATTACGCAAATGATCACTAATATTTAGGTAAGTATTCATTTTGACCATTAATGTTTGAAAAGTCACAAATCGATCACTAACATTATCGTTTGTTATAAAATGATCACTCGACGTTAACAACCGTTACTGTAGGTGATGAAAAACTGATGTGGCGCGTTAACTAGTAATTTGGCACCATTTGACGAATATTTTGACCCACCCTTCTCTTCCATCTCAACTCTCTCATCTTCATCGCTTTGAAGAAACGTGCCAGAATCTTTTGAAATGACTATTACAATCCTTCTTTGAAATGAGCGAGCCAGAATCTTTTGAGCAAGTAACATGTTTTCATCATCGAATGAGATTTCAATGACGAGACACTGTTGACGAAGCTTTTTGACGTCATTCCGTTCACTCATATCCTTCACCAGGCGACGCAGGCCGCACATTCGTTACGCCATGCAAAACCCATAGTCGTACGTGAGATCGAACATAGTGGGGTTCATTAATCTGCTCGAAGTTTCCAAGGTAGCCAATTCGTAACCCGCCATTATCTGGGTTTCGTCGAGCTCTGTTTACGGGCTCATCAACGAGAACCTATTCTTCAAACGCGACTATACCAATTAACTGGCAAGACTTTACATCGCCACAAAGAAAGCCAGCGAGGAAATCGCTAACACTTATTACCACATCTACGGGCTCTCTCTCACCGGAATAAGATTCTTCACCGTTTACGACCCATGGAGAAGACCTGACATGGCATATTTCTTTTTCACTCAAGATATTCTCCAAGGCAAACCCATCGACAAGTGACATAAACCAAGTGGAGTAGCCCCTGGATATCACTATTCCTCAAGATATGCAAATGCAGATTCTTGAAATAATGCCATCCATTAATGTAAGCAACAAATTCGAAAAAAAAAACCCAGAATTGTAAGGGAAGTTATTAGAAGAGTTTGATGATAGTGAAAAGAAGCTTCCCTTTCCCCATTTTTTCACTTGCCATTGCAACATCCTGCATAATGATCAGCCTTTCTTGATGGCTCCGAGCAATGCCCAAAAGAACGAAGCAATTCAGGCGATACAATCGACGGCACGGTGAGCCTTGAGGAGTATAACCCAAGTCACTTGCTTCGTGTTTTTGTCTCGGCATTTCTCCGTCGGCAGAATCGGGACCGTCAATCTCCACCATCGAGTAGTTCGTGTTCTCCATTTTCACCACATCAATTTCCACATGCATTCGTTTCTTCTTTTCCTTCGGCCACCACGTCGGAACCATTTTCAGTGGGTTTTACTCGAATCTCAAGAATCAAGTAATGAAGAATGAACAAATTACTAAAACAAAAGGGAACTCATATTTAGATAGCGAAAGAAGGAAACTTTAAAGCATCCATTGTGCAGAGAAGAAGAGAAGAAAAGGGAGTGTTTATAAAGTGAAGATAGAAGACTAGACAAACAACATGAGAAAAACAAAATTTGAGGAAAGGTAGAACCAAGTAAGCTTTAAACGGTTCAGTTGGGTCAAAATAAAGGTCAAACGGTGCCAACTCAATAGTTAACGTTCCACATCATCTTTTCGTAACCAACAGTAACAACTGTTAACGTCAAGTGATCATTTTATAATAAACCATAACATTAATGATTGATTTGTGACTTTTCAAACATCAGTGGTAAAAATAAATATTTACCCAAATATTTAGTGACCATTTGCATAGTTTACCCTATTTTTTACCTAGTTTTCTCCCAATTTTTGTGTTGTTTGTCCCCCTTATTTTTTATCTTAATTTGGCCAGTGACAATATCAATTTTGGGTTTGGTCATTAACAGTTGATATTCATTGTTTTTTTTTTAACTTTTTTATATTGTATTATTATTATTTTTATTAGTTTGTAATAATTTTGTCTTTATCACACAATTTTTTTTTATATTTTTGACATATTTTCGCTTTTCTTTGTCTATCATTTAGTCGTTCTCTTCGCTTAATTTTTTCATGGTTGGATTTGACGTCACATTAACTTATCAAGATTACACTTATTGGTTATCATAATGATTTTCTCTGTCTTAATGGATTTGGATACGCAATTCGCATTCGCATATAGTTTTTTCACAATGATCGACTTGGATTTGTGATTGCCAGTGGTCTTTCAGTTGTTTGATCTCTTGTTGTGGTCTGTTTGCCCATGTAGTCATATCTATTCCTATTTATATTTTGCTCGAATTTTTTTAATGTGTTTAATATTTTCCTTGTATGGTTCAAGTAGCTAGTTTTTTGTGTCAGTAGTTATATGAAATGTCATAATTATATATTTAGTTTACGTTTATAGTTGTAAACTTTAATTATAATTTTAGATATGTTCGCTTTTAATAAAACTAATAGATTCTATTTGCATAAAATAAATAAATATACATTTTGATACTTAAATTTAATTTTAATATATAATTTAATATTTATTTTTTGGTTCAATTAGGAATTTAAACTTGGACTTAAAGTTTCATTTGATATCTACATTTTTTGTCTAATAATTACCTAAAGTTAGCTTTTAGATTCAAATGGGTACTTAAACTTGAATTCTAGGTTTAAATAATCATTTTGTCCCAAGTACTAATTTGGACAAAAAAAATAAAATTCAAGTACCATTTAAGCCAATAATTCAAGTTTAGGTATCTAATTGGATAAATAAAATTAGGTACGAGTTTGAACCAAGTCAAATTTAGGTATCCAACTGAAAAAAAAAATTAAACATCAAAATTGTAATTTGAAATCAAATTGAAGTAGTAAAATATATATTTATTTATTTTATCCGAAAAAGAAGACATAAATAAAGTTGCAACTTGAACATAAAGAGATCCTGAAAGCATACCCATAATGGTTGAGCTGTATTTAATTTAATGAGAGGTCACAAGCACATGCATAATTACCATCGTATATTAGTGGTGAAAAGAGTTAAAATCCTTACTCTCGAAGCCAAGGAAGGTTCCAACACGCTTCTCATGAACGTGCTCGCCACTTCTCTAACAAATTTGCATCAAGTTTCAGCTAGCAAACGAAGATTCGTGTATATATATATATAATTGGGTATAGAATGCTAACATCACATGTTGATATCGTAAGTTTGATTTAAGAAAAGATATGACATGTATCGACTCACATTCAAGTAGATAATTAAGTTAAATTTTAATTTAATTTTAATAGTTAAATATTTAATCTCTATAATATCCACGTTAGAGATTGTGATTCAAAATTTATTTGACGTAGTTTGAAAAGTTCACAATGCGACCTACTTGTTGAAAATTTTAGATTGAGAGAAAAGTATGAAACTGTGGGGCAGAGAATTCTCACAACATGATGTAAGTTTATTTTCTAGGATTTTATGCCTATACAATTATAAACCCATTCTAGGATTTTCTAATATTAATGAGGGGTTAGTGTGCAAATTAGTTCATAATGTGTCACAATTAGTGTAATTTCTATAATCTCTCTTGTAATATCTTTGACAATCATAGTGAATTTTTGCCTCCGTACTAGCTACATGAATAAAGTCAAAATTTTCTTCTAGGGATAGAATTGAGAAAAAAATTACTGGGTGGGGGGGGGGGTTTAAATTATAATTTATCAGGAGATATGATAGATAAGACACCTATTCGATAATTTTAATATAATAGAGTGGCATTCGGAGGGCAGAATGGAGTCGACGAATCTTCATCCATTTTCACGTTGTTTGTTAACAATTGATCACCTAAACTCCATAAAGGTGACTTATGGCAGATCTTTGGAAGACAAGGCGATATTGGGGTCCTTTTATTGCTAACAAAATAGATTAAACATGGAAAATGTTTGGTTTTGTTAGATTTACAAACAGGCAAGATGCAGATAAAGCCATTGATAGGTTAAATGGATTTAAGCTATACAGATATAGAATTCATGTTTGCATGACAAGGTTCAATGGGAGAAACGGGTATTAGAGGAAGAAACACTCTATTCTAGCTCGTTTAAATTAGAGTAAGGTTAACAAGTCGCTGAAAGAGATCAAGAAGAGAACAGTCGAGTTCAGGAGATCTGGGGAACTGAGAAATGATGAGAAAGACTCAGGTGTAAGTAGTAGTCAGGGAGAACAATACATTAAAAAGTACAGGGTTTCGTGTAGGATGAATTACTGTGGAAACTAAGTAAAAGTCTGGTTAGCACAATGACGACTGATTATAACACTGAAGAGGTGAAGTCAGGGCTTCATAGACGGTGTCTTGGAGGTTGTGATGTTAAATTTGTTAAGTTCTATCATCAGTCCTTGTATTATGCATAAGCTGTAGTTATAGTTCCTATTCTCTAATTTTAAATCACAGTACTTTATTCATTTTGTCTCTATATTATTTGGGTCATGACTGAAATTTCAAAATTCGAAAAGTATAAGGATTAAAATTGATTAAATTAAAGTAGAGGGACTAAATTCATAATTTTTGTATAGTACAAACTAATGGCAAAATTTGACCGAAGGTCGTGCGTGCCAGTGACTTTAAAGATTCCTAGAAAGGCTGTTTTTCTCTTTCTGCAAAATGTGTCTTAAAGTCGGGGAAAAGGATCGATATCCGGGGTCAAAGAAAGGTATATATACCATTAATTCCATCTGAATGAAGCTCATGTTATTTTCTAGTTTCTTTATTTCGATGTCTTCTATTCCGATACTTTTCTTGTTAGCAGAGAAAAGGAAGAGTTTTGGCAAATCCACACACATTCTTTACTTGGTTTCATCGTCGTCGTCATCATCAACTTCGTCAACCTCACAAAGGTTTTAAGTAGTGCAGCCATGGTTTCATTCATCCATTCACCATCATCATCAAATTAAGAGCTAAAGCTTTCTGCTGAAATGGGTGTTCTCGCAGCAATCGCCAAACGTCTAGATGCAATTGTCGGGTACTGATTTTTGTTTCTTCCTTTATTATTTATTAACATGTTGGAAAGTTGACATTAAGAATTTGGTTTTCTGTGTTCCAGGCCTGGAGTAATGCTCCTGTATCCATTGTAAGTAAATTCAAAAATATTTAGTGTTCTTCTTCTTACTGCTTTAGGTAGGGGAGAGGTTTTCGGAAAATTTTAATTTATTCGAGTTGATGAGTCATATTTTATAACTCAAATTTTATTTAAAATTTTTTGAATCTATTTGAGTTTTGGAGTTAATGTTTAAATTCAATTTTAAATATTCATAATACAATGATACTATTTTATAATATTAATAATATTTATAATACATTTCATCATATTTTTTTCATATATGATATATATATATATTATACAAAGTTGAAGAACTCGACTCAAACTTGAAAATCAATTTACTAATTATTAAAAGTTTTGAGTTACTCATGTTCTATTTTATAATGTGATTCGAATTTAAAATTTTTATAGTCGAGTCAAATTTATAAAATTACGAGTTGAGTCAATACGAGTTGAGTTTTTTTAAATCAAATAAAAAAATAATTTCTCGAGTCGAGTTTTGCTCACATCTAACTTTTAAGGTTAAAATGAGTGATGATTATGTATATACCGATGAACAGATATGCTTCAATCCGAGCAATAGAAAGTCCATCAGTGGTAGATGACCAGCAATGGTTAACCTATTGGATTATATATTCTTTCATCACCCTATTTGAGCTCTCGTTTTGGAGAATCCTCGCTTGGTAAGCAAACCCTTTACAATTACCCTATTTCTCATCATCATCGTTATCTCATCATCATCATCATGCAGGGTGCCATTATGGGCATACATGAAGCTGTTGCTGTGCATGTGGTTGGTGCTGCCGATATTCAATGGGGCAGCTTATGTGTATGAGAACTATATAAGGAAATACATAAAGCTAGGAGGATTCGGGGGATCAAATTATACAGACGATCAAAAGAAGATCCTCCAGATGATTAGCTTAGACGCTAGGAAATATGTTGCCGAGTACATTGACAAGCATGGCTGGCCCTCCTTTGAACGAATCATCAACGCGGTATATACACATATTTCTGTTCGTGTTCGTTCCTAGTTCTTCACTATTCCTAATGTTTTTGGCCTCTGTGAACTGGTTTTTCAGGCGGAGAAAGAAGCAAAGAAACATTGAAGTCTTTACGATTATCACCGACTGTCGAGGAATGCATCAAGTTTAAAGTGAAACTTGTTTGAATTGAAGGAGAAATGTGTGTTAAATTTCTGGACATGGAATGTATATCACTCAAGGATTTATGGTACAACTCGTTTTAAAAATTTATAAGTTGTATTTATTTTTTACATCGCGTAATATTAAAAAAATGATTGAAATTAACAATAGAAATTGAAGAAATATTTATAAAAAAAGTTATCCTTCAATTTGATTTTTTTTTAATTTCAACTATTAAATCCAGTTATTCTAATTATTTAAAAAATATATGTAAAATTTAAAAGTTTCACTATGTAAGTGGATCTTAATATATATATATATATATGAGACGAAATTCATTGATATTCACACTGTGTATCATATATGCATATCATATATGAAAAAAACATAAAGAAATATATATGTATTGTATATGGTTATAGAGATTGTTTCCGTGATATTATAAATATTGATAATTCAATTTAAACAAAAACTCGAACAACTCAATTCGACTCAAATTTTATAAATTAACTCAACTCCAAAAAAAATTAAATAAAGTTTGAGTCATAAAATATGACTCATGAACTCGAATAACTCGATCAAACCCCACCTCTAATCCTTTCTATAAAAGAGAATTGGAAGTGTTGAACTATCTATGTGATATGAATTGTGCTATGTTTAAAAATGGATGGAACTTGCTCCAATTTATAGGCAAATTTAAGGCCACATGAAGGCCAACTGATAGCCTCTAGGTCTTCTGTTATCCTTGGCCTTACATTGAGAACGAGATATTGCAAGAAGAAAATGGTCAGTGAAAGCATAAATCCACTTTTACAACATTGAGTTACAAATTCCAAGTACACAAATCTTAATTCATGATGTAGTAATTAGCTGATGCAAGTGATTTTCTTCTGGTTTTTTGCTCTTTATGTCCGTCAATATATATGCATATAAATATACAATCTCACTGGTTGGTGATGGCAGCAAAATCATGAAAACTGAGCTTCATTCTTTAAATGATTCCATGGAACTTGAATGCAAAGAGCAGTAAAATTCGGCCTCCTATCCTGATAGGCTAGTATACAGTCCTGTACAATCACACTCATGATTTATAAAACTAGCTGACAAAAAACTGAGAAGGAAAATTATCAGCAGGACGAGAAGACTTACTAAAACCTGTAAATCTTTGTTGATTTCTTCCGAGTCTCCGACGTGTTGCCGCTCTCGGTCAGGGATGTAAAAGGGTTGGTTGAATGGATCAACCTTGAGTTATCCGGATCCACGTTTTGGTTCGGTTGCAGGATGTGCTTCACTCCAGGACTCAGTTTAATTGGACTCAATCTTGTCACACCATATGAATCAACATTGGAAGAATCGATTCCAGCTGAAAGTCCGAACCGAGTGCATCGAGACTCATTCGGACTCCATCCTCCAAAGCTTGCTTCATTCGTTTCAGGTTCAATTTCTAGTGATCCCATGTTATGTTGAATGTCATCAATGAAGTTTTCTCTTGTCAACCGAGTTGCAGCTCTCGATTCATCTCGAATTCCTAGATTTGTTACCTTCATGGGATTCATTAGATAATCTTCTTTAACTGCAGGCCTCTTCCTTGCCTTCTGGCAAATATCAGGTTCCTTACTGCTGGCAATTTTTTGAATTCATTCTGTCTTTGAACTTGATTCGGTTCCTCTGGCTCAGGTCAACAGATGTTGGTTTAACTAAAGATGGTTGCCCAGCTGAAATTTTCATTTGTGAGTAAGAGATCACTGGATTGCGATCATAAGAAACTATTGGAAAACGAGGAACCGATCGGTTCATAAGAGAAAGAGTTTGAGCACTATGCGGACAATGTCTACCACCCACATGAGGAGACAGTTGAGAAGGTGTACTAGGTGCCTGCACTTGCTGTGTTGCTTTTAATAACCATGGGATCAAGCTCTTCGAGGATTCTGGACACCAATATGGTTGGACTTGTTCAACATGATCTGGGTGCAAAAAGGGAAAGTTGAAAGATGACTTTCCAGCATTTTGTAGATTCTGGTTGTTTTCGAGTTCAACAGGAAAACCGTTTATATTCTGATAGTTTCCGTGTGAAGCCGATACTGCAGGTTGTCGCGAGGTAACTCTTAATGCTTCTGTTCTTGATAAGAAAGGCTCATGGAAGTCAGCTCCATTGTCAAATATAGCATGGGATGTGTGTGGGATGAGCAAAATGGTGTGAGCTTGGACTAGGATCTTGAGCAATTGCAATGCTGCTGCTATTTCGGAATTCCGGATTTGCTTGCCAGTTGAGGCTTGGTTGAAAGAAATTAGATTCAAGAGGCTTCATGAGTACATTGCTGGGAAAGGCCTGCTTTCTCGTTATTTCAAATTGTCGAACAGGCACTTCGTTACGCATTCCTGATGCTGAATCCTGAAGCCATTCTTGCTGAAAATGTTTATTAACACAGGAACTCTGAAGAGCAGTACTTTTAGGAGAATCTGCAAATCCTTGTCTCTCATCGTTACTTTGACAAATTGTAACATCTTTTCCCATCAACCTCATTGTTTGAGTGGCACTATTCAGCAACATCTTCTCTGCAGTTTTGGTTGCATGGCTCATGTCTTTTTCCTTTAGGTTTCGAAACTGGTCATATCGTCCGAATCCACTGGAAGACATGTTCATCGGATTTATGTCCGAATCCACCAAACAGTCAAAGCGGCTGCATCTCCTATCAGAATTTGTAAAGTAGCCTTCTTTTCTATGGTCTTGTAAATCTGCAGCCCCTATTCTTCCCGATAAATGTACGGTAGCATTTTCTTTCATGTGATTCTGCGCAGGAAATAAATAGTTCGGAAGTGTACGTTCAATAAAATGCTTCTCTTTCATGATTGAATGATCATCCGTTCCCCGTGGCAAGAGAAGATTGTTAATGCTATTGGAAGAACCTGGCAAGAGGAGATTGTTAATGCTGTTGGAAGAACCCGGTGTTGGATTTGGTTTCTTCAGCTGGTTGAATCCCCCTTTTCCATTTGAATTGTTCTGCACTAGTTCAACTAGTGAATTTAGAGGCAAGCCAAAAAAATCCTCGTTCCTGCGCTTTTCTCTTAAGGCAACTTCCTTCCATTCATGGTCCGGGAAGGTACACAACCTCCCCCTCAGTTCACTAGGGGTTGGCCGATACACTAGCTGATGAGACAAAGCATGACCAGAAATATTTTGTGAAGTGAATTGTGATGGAAAGTGAGAAGTTCCATTTGCGTTTTTACTCGAAGCAAAACCAGATGATGAAGGAAGCAAAGATGCCCTCGGATTTGCCTTAGAAGAACTTATAACAACTTCCTGGGTGCGATCTCCGAAATAATCAACAAATTGGGAACTGCATTTCAAAGTTGTTGAAACACCGCCACCTACTTGAGAGTTGGCAAATGGATTCGGGATCTCTTTCACTGCAGAGAAGTGTCTAGGAGCCACAGCATACGGAGAGCTAAGAAATGCAGTTTGATTACCTTGGTTAGACATATGCAAATTATCAGAATCTAATACGACTTGACCTGGGCGCAAAGATCGATTTGAAAAATTATTTGCTTTTTCCTGCACCAAGACACCAGGTCCGAGAAATTTTGATATATCAGCATTATAATGCATATCAGGCCACAGTTGCTTCTCCTTTGCATCTTGCACCTTAATCTCATTTTCTGTGCTAAAAAAACATCCTCATCGTCACTTGTGTTTATCTCTATAGTCTGAAATTCTTTATCATCATAATTCTCGTGGCCTTTCTCCAACAGCTCATGTGAATCCGAATCAACATGGCAGATATTTTCCTCGAATGAAGCAACATGTTTCTTATGTGGACCAAGTATGTCATCCTTACCTGAGAAACTGACATGCCTGGCTGAAGGTTGGATGCCACTGGGGCTTGCTAGAGTAGTGGCCCTCGAATTGCATGTTACAGCATTTTGCCCAGAAGTACATTTGGCCGGGTTCTTGAGAATGCCACAAACAGGCGAACATGACTTTTCACACTCTACAATTAGCTGCGATGCTTGAACCACCTTGCTTTTCTTTTTTGCAGACATGCATTTCAGACTTGGTTTCTTTCCAAGGACAGCAATGGCATTCGAGCCCCTATTGCACAGTGTATTTGCTTTTCTCTTGAAATTGACAGGAGTTTGCAGCTTCAGCTTGGTACCATTTTCCTGAGACACGAAAACAGAAGCATCATCAAGCCAAGTATCTATTTCCGAATTTGATCTTCATTCAAATAATATAAATTTGAAGGTACGTACTGCATTCTTAGTAATTCATTTATTTTCTTACTAGTGATTAGTTAACACCAGCATTCTTTTCCTCTTGCGGCCCTATGAGAGTACAGTGTTCGATGGTAACATCATGCATATAACAAAAGAATGCCCTTTAATTGTATCATAGACCAAAAATGCCTAAATGCACTCATTAAAACACTACACTCTACGGAAAAACAATGTAATGCTAGATGAATGATCTCAAACAACCCATTGCACAACGCTTCTGCTAGAAGGAAACAACCCATTTCATTCTTTTCCTCTTCCGCGGATCGTTTTATACTTGGAAGAACATTCTTATTTGTCATAATAATTGCATTTCAACAGTATGTTTCACAAAGACACAAACCTTACAGATAAGTCTGCACAACATCATACACCAGCACAATGCAAGAGTATCTTCATCATCATTTTGATCTTTTTTTTCCCTTTCCGACAGAAGATCTTTCATATGTATTTTGGGAAGTGCAACAGCATAAATGAAATATTACTATTTCCTCATGCTCTAACCAAGATGACTATCAATAACTAGTGTAACTTATAAAACAAGACCGCCCATTTTTTCAGCTATTATCATCATCTACAATGTACATTCTGTCGATATTTTCATCTCAAAAGTATCTTATATAGCCATGTCCCTATACTTTCCATCAACACTTCCTCATCAAGCCAACAGAAAAGGCTTGTGCTCATATCAATATGCGAAAAGCATTTTCCCAATAGTTACAACCTACTAGGAAAAAACAATGAGCAAAAGTCCACGAACGAGGCAAAAAGGGTGACTTCACCCTTAAATCATCAATAAAACCACAACCCGTACCGATTAATCCAACATTTCTACCATTAACACAAAGAAGAGTTCCAAAAAACTACAAGAGACTCATAAAATATGAACGGACTCTATCTCATTACGCAGCTGCTAAGCATCCGATGACATACTCCCAGATCCGCAACAATTCAACTATATCCGCATTTGGCATCATCCATATACTTGCCAACAAACACATAGATTGTATAAACAAAGAATTACCATAGCCAGTTCACATTTCCCTCATAAGATCATGACAACAATTTACAATGCTCCATATCCTATTCAATTTTCCAGTCCGCATTATCATCAATCCTAGCTTACAGATTAAACAGTTCACCTGAAATTATTATTGAAGTCCTTCCCTAGTGTCCATAATCTATAAACCCCAATAATGAGCAACTCCAACAATAGGTTGAAACACTAGACATTAGATCAAAACCAAGACTGGCCCCAATAGCTAAATGATTATCTTTGATATAAAAAAAGAAGGGGAAAAAATATTGCAACAGTAGTTAAAAGAAAACAACAGCATGAGTAATCTAGGATAGATATGCTAAATCTAGGATCTAGGACAAGAAACCTTTAGCAAATGGAAGACATCTCTGCCCCAACCCTTATTGTACAGCTGGAGCACCACAACTCACCTAAGCTCCCATAATAAGCAGCTCAAACCTTCCCAAACATGAAAACTCATCTCTTTCTTTTTACTTTTTTACCCTCTTTATGCTGCTGATGAATATTATTGCACACAACAAGTACAATCGCAAGGTAGCTGTTCAGTGATCTCAGTCCTCGAAATGAAGAGTCTTTAAACAGCTTTATCAGCAGTAATTTTATTGAAATCAGAAATGAAGAACATAGATTTGTACTACACAGTACATGAAGTAGTTCAAATTGCAATTCGTCATGATAAGAACAACAATGAAAAATAATGCTGCAACATCTTAAAAATATACAGATAATGAAATCAAACGACTCAAGATTGTAATAAAGCACATAATAAGCAATATTTTATGATGTAAATAACATACCTTGTTAACAATCATCAGCCCATTTTGCTTGTTATTCTTCTTCTTCTTCTTCTTCAACTTCCTCCTTTTGTTCATCAACTTTTTCACGATTGCCACTTTCTTTTTCTTTGAATCATGATCAACCTTCTGGATCTCAGGAGCCACGGCAAAAATCTCAGTGATGAAACGCTTCTTGGGGGTTCTTGATTTTGTAGGCCTAATTAGCGTCCTCATTTGGCGCCTCTCTTGTCTAGATGCTTGAGCAAGGCAGCTATTAACATGAGCATTCAACGCATTCACTGTTGAAGCAGCAAATGCCCCACAAACTGGACATTCCAACATGTCTGACCTTTCATCGGATTTCTCCCCAACGTGAAAATTTATTTGCTTTTCTTGAAGATTATTCTTTTCCATGCCGCTGCTTTGTAATTCATTTGATTTGAGAAGATCAAGCTCGTCGGACCACCAGCGGAATTTAGTGACTGTAATCGGAGGGAGAAGAGATTCCATGCTTTGTTTGCTTAACTTACCGGTACCATTATCATCGTCATCATCACCCGAAGAAGAAGCTCCAGTGAAGGGCCAGCATTTCACCACGTTGATGCTTCTCATTTTGGAAGCATACTCTCTATGCAAAAAAACAACAGATCAACGAAGTCAAACAACAAGAAGCAAACAAGGAGAAGAAAAACCTTTCTAAAAACCATAAAGTAAACCCAAGGAAACAACTCACCGGATGGAAAATCCTTCAAACACAACCGCCATGCTACTTCTATAAAGAAGTACGAACCCGGAGAGAGAAATCAGGGTCTTAACCAGAAGAAGAAGAAGAAGAAAACAAAGAAAAACAAAGTCCGGGTAGCTAAAATTAGACTAAAAAGGAAAGGAAAACAAAGAAAGAGGAGACCCAGACTCAGATGGAGAAAGAGAAAGATGAGAAATTGTTTTGTTGTAGGTAACCTCTCCATCTATCTTTCAATAATGCTCTCAAAGGTGAGAATAGATGGAGTTACAGAAAGAGAAAGGCTCCACATTTTTCCCGCTCGATGAGAGAGAGAGAGAGAGTTTTGGTCTTGAAAGCTCTCTCCTTTCCCCTTATTTATGACTGACAGCGACGTATGAGACCGCAAGCCAACGCTAAGATGTTTCAGAGAATAACCAATTTCACCTTTCTTTATTCGCTTCTCTCTCTCTCTCTCTCTCTTTCTCGCTCTCTCTCTTCTCTCTCTCTCTCTCTCTTTCTCTCTCTCTCTCTCTCTCTCTCTCTCTTTCTTTCTCTCTCTCTCTTTCTCTCTCCCCCCTTTGGTTTACCATTAGATACAATTTAGAAGTCAGAGCGGTAAACTAATCTAGTTTATGATTGTTAAATTCTATTTGATTCATTAAAATTAAGTTTAATTTATTCAAAAGTTTGTAAGTTGAAAGTTATTAAGTTTAATTCAAATTTGAAATAAAAGATTAAAATTGGTCTTGAAAATTTATAAATATAAAAATTTATTTTTCACTCAAAATCAAATTTTAAATTTTGATTTGAATTCGAATCTTAAATATATAAAAGTATTGCTGTAATTTAAAAAATAATAATTTAATTTAAAATTTATTATTTTAATATATCATTTATTCGAGTTGCTAATAAGATTTTCGAGTCAAATATCAAATAATTCACTTCGACTGGTTAAAAATTCAAATAGTTAAAATTCGAATTAAATTTATTCGATTCTAATATTAAATTTATTTCATTTGAATATGGACTGAATTTTAATTGAATCAATTTGAAATACTTGACCATGCATATCATCTCATTTATAACCCTAAATAGAACACACGGATATTCAAATACATATAAAGATGAAACGTTGTTTTATTTTATACACTTCTTTCCATCGTGTACGCCTAAAGAAAAAGGTTCACTGTAAGAAAAGAAGGTCTGGGTACGCGCTTGTTTACTGTGAGTGGGGAAAAAAGAAAATAATGAAGTGGGGTTGGTTTTTTTAATGATAAATGAGTATTAAATTTGTTGGCTTAGGTTGTTGCCAACGTATGAAGAAGTTGACACCCTCCTCGATACTAGTAAATTGTAGTTGCAGTTGTAGTTGTAGTTATATATGTTGTGAACATTACCACGTGATTTAATTCTTAAAAGTAATTATATTTTTATATTATAAATATGGTTTGCAGTGTTGTGATTTTAAAAAAAGCAATATAATGTAATCGTTACGTTGTGTTGCAGTTGTAATTTAGTACCAAGGCTCTTACATATGCTCCTTTTCACGCTACCCAATTTGTCCCAACTCTTTCCTTCTTTTGCTTCAGCAGCTTCCTTCTTTTCGTTCATACCTTCTAAAGAAACTACTTTGCCTAAAAGTTTGAGTCTTTTTTATATATTTCATGTTGGTTTTATCGTCGATGTTCTAGATTAGTGATTGTATTACTCAATGATGTAATCTCTAAGATGAGTTCCTGTTTGTTCTACCCATCAATCTGACTGTTGTTTGCGCAGTGGCTGAGAGGTTTATGCATCCATGCATGACATATAGCAGAAGGAGAGTGAAATAACATTAACCCACTTGTCCATGCCCATACTTACATGTATGCATGAGTGAAATCCATTGAATTATCTCAGCGGGAAAAAAAGGTTATTCTTTCTAAAAGATTTAAGTTTGAGAAGTTACGTTTACATAATGTGAGCGTTATCAACAGGCTAACAAATACTCTGAACAACAGATACTACTTCGTAATCACTCCAGAGCTCAAACTAAAAAAAATTATATGTTTGTTGTATGTCGAATTAGCTAGGGTGAAGAAATAACTTTCCATTGCACGCATCTGTAGTTGTTGTCCTTGTTCATCTCTGATCGTCGACCATCTCTAGTTTTGGAAAGTGAAGATGTTAGGGTTAATTTGCCTTCAACGGCTACTAGTTTTGGAAAGTGAAGCTGGTTTTGGGTCAATTGTTGCTTTGGAGTAAGCAAAGCTGAAAGCGAGTGGATTTATTGGGGATTAGTGGATCATGTAGCCATTGTTGAAGCTGGTTTGGAGGTTTGAGGATGTTTTTTTTTGAAGTCTAAGCAGCGTGTAGTTGAAAGTTGAAGAATTGTCGGGGAATAGTGTCAACATTATTTTTGTTGTTCAAATGCAACAATGTAGTTGGAAGATGAAAATTTTTGGAGTTGCTACACACTTCATTCGAATGCCTCGTCTTTGTTGAGAAACTGTTTGTCCGCTAAGGTAGCCTGTTTTCAAGGTGAATTGCATAACTCTTTTCAAATTCAAAGATAAGGAAGTTGAAACAGATTCCCAAGTGGCGTTGATATGGTTTGTAACCCGTCTTTGAAGCCTTGGAGTTGGTGAGACACTTTCGATGAGTTTGATAAGCTGTCTCAATATTCCCATGTTGAAGGTCATGTATGTCCCATGGGAAGGAATAGGTTAACGGATCAGTCGGCGAAAGAAGGGAAGTTGTGTGATCAGTAGTGTCGTTGTTGTTCTCGCGCTCGCGTGATTGCCATGAGGAGGATTACTAGTTTTTGTTAGTGTTTTCTGTTGAGCTTTGTTGTTGGGTGATTATGTTTCAAGTTGTGTTCTAGTTCTCTACCCTTGATAGGGTGTACTCTTTTCGATTAAAGATTATGAAGGTTTTTAACGAGGTCAATAAAATATATATATACACATACATATACCAATATCATTTTCAGTGGACTTAAGCCATATATATAGAAGGTTTTTAACGACGTCTATATTTGTGTTATAAAATATATATACATACATATACCAATATCATTTTCAGCGGACTTAAGCCCATATATATAGTATACGAGCATGGATTTAAATTGTGGTTGCTGTCACGTTTTTATTATTTGTGTTTATCAAAATTACGACAATAGCGGGTGATATTGTGGTCATTACGTGTATAGCGATTTTGCAATAGCCAGTGGAGGATCTATAAATTTAAAAATGGTGTTCACAATTTTAATATTATTTTCTTACAAATAATGGCTTTGTAATTTTTTTTTAATTTTTTCTTAACACATTAAACTAAACTTAAACATTTTTTTAAAAAAATATCGGGATACACTTTATCCTTATGGGAATTTAGTGCATGACAATAACAATTCTGGACGACACCTTTATCGCGGTATAATCGTTGTTAATCCAATAACATGCCACTATTTAAATTCATTCACAGGAGTACTAATATATACATATATAATACGTCCAATTTTCTCATACAACATACTATATAAAACTGATTTCTAATTTGGGATACAAAACTAAAGAAAGAAAGTGAATTCCACTTCCCAACTGTAGCAGATTAGAAGTCCAATCAGCAGATATGGAATTTAAGATCAACTTTTATTTTTTTTAAATGAGGTTGAAATGAGTTTAGGTTCAATGATGATATCTGTCGTTCTAGTTGTCTTAATTTATATGGGTCATTGTTCCTAATGATTTACATATAATCATGCAATGCAAACTTAGACTTGACTGAAAACATACTTTATATTCAAGTGGACTACCTTTTCAACTCCATCTGATAATTTCTGACCCTTTAACAAGTAGGTAGAGTTTTGTGTTTCAAATTCAATATAAATTTAGGGTCAATTTGGTATATATTTTTAAAATTGTTGTAGAAACGAATTTTTAATAGTTTTGTATAAAAGTTCAATTTAAAATTTAGTTGTTTGACATTGTTATTTAAAAGTAAGTTTAAAAAGATAAAATGTCAATTATAAAAATTATGTTTTAAATTAAAAATATAACATTTAAACTATATTTACAGTTATATGAATGATATCAATTTAAAATATAATAAATTCAAAAAAAATAATTATTATATATGAATTATATCAATTTAAATTATAATAAAAATATAAATAAAGAAATAATTTACGTAACTCAATATTAATATTTTAATATATTAAAACATAAATATTATTTATTTTTAAATAATTAAAATAAATTATTAAAAGTAATAAATTATTTTTTAAAGATGTTAGTATTAAATTATTAAAACAAAATGTAAATATGTAATTGAGTGGAGCTCATGCATTAGTAAGGGTAAAATTATTATTTAATTCCAAACGTAAAGTTAAAATGAAAAAATTAGAAATCCTTACTTTTGCGGTTGATTTGAAACCATCATTTCCACTGTAATTTTTTTCGTCATTTATCCGTTTAGTATTGATTTTGCGGTCAAAACATGAATTTTTTAGCTCAAAGTACTTTTAAGAAGCATTATCAAACATACCCTTAGTTCGAGTAGAATCTTTATAAATATATTATAGATTAAAATAAAAAGTTAAATTAATTATTCAATTAAACTGTGTATAACTGTAATTCTCTTATATTATTTTTGTTTTAACATTTGTGATTATTACTTTGTATATGTTTTTATTTGTTTAAAATTTTTCACGTAAAATTTATTATATATTTTTATTTTTTTATTGTTTTACAATTTCCTTATTATTATCATATACATATAATATATGATCAATGCATTTTATGAAAATGGTATATAATTATTATGATAATATTATTTTATAAGACGTTTTAATACATAATTTCATATGATTTGTTTTTTTAACAAAGGAAATAATTTTTTTACTTTTTTTTGGTCCAACACGTCTTGATTTATTGCATCACTATCAGCATTATGTTTTTTTTTTTTGGAAGGCACTATCAACATTATAACCCATTCTAAGATACCAAAACCAAAGTCATTTTCAACTGCCAACTGCAAGCCACAGGCCACAGTATAAAGAAAAGAAAAAGTACGAGCAAAATTCCAAATCACAAGTTGGAAGGTATAGTCTCAACATCATATTATTACGAGAAAACCCTAAAAGATCCACGAGAGTACGTCGAAAGATAAATAATTAGTTTTGATAATAAATAAATGTAAATTACACACTTACTAAACTTTATTCTCAATGAAAAGGAGCTAGAGTGATACACGAAGACAATGACAAGTCAAAGAAGAATGGGAAAACGAGAAGTTATGTGTAGAAGAAAATTGTTGCTGCATGGGGAGAATGGTGGCTTTATCATGGATGATAATGATGAATAGTTAGAGAAGAAAGTGAATCGGATGAAGAAGAGGAAGAGTTTAAAATTTATATAATTTAATATTTTTATATGAAATTTAACAATTAAAAATTATTTTAATTTATCCATGTCATAACACCGTTAGGCATTTACGGCGAGTAACAAAAGAAATTCAATATCTAAAGTTCAATGAGCAATTTGAGAAAAAATGAAACTACGGCGAGTGAAATAAGAGAAGTAAAATTCAGTTAGTAAGTGTGTAATTTACCCTAAATTAATAGAATAAAAGAAGGAGGTGTTTGAACTTGAAAGTAGGTGATGAACATTATGTTTGTGAATGTAAATTTCAACCAACTCACTCTGACTTATCATTGATTCCTATGCCTGCATTTTGAGGACACCCGCCACTTGATCAATCATACATGATACATGGGATCAAGAGTGCGAATAGGATAGTCGACTACTAAAATTTTTAAATTAGTATATTTTTATATTTTTTAGTATTTTTCATTGAAAATTTATTTTTATTTCTAAAATTTTAGAAGTTCGTCTCTTAATATAAAATGTTGTGTTCATCTCTTATTATACGTACTTATTATTAAGTCCCGAATTGAATTGGTGTAATATATTATTCTATCGAATATTAGTTTAAATTTTAAAATTTACAAATTAATCAAATATATATTTAATAGAGAACAATTAAAATACTTTTTAAATGATGATTAATATTAGGGTATTTGTATTTAGTCCTTAACCATTTACGTAATTTTATTTTGGTCACTCAACTGGATTTTCAAAATCATATTAAAATTATTTTTTGTCACACTCCGTTTAAAAAATGATTGTTGTTGTCGTAACTTTTTATATTTTTCAATGATAATATGACATTACTTTTGATAATACGTCAAAATCACTATTAAATTTTAATAATAATTGATCAAAACAAATCAAAAATGTAACTTTATGTATGATTTTGGGGAAAACAATAGTTGAATGATCAAAACGGAATTAAAAAAATAGTTAGATGACTAAATATGTATTTTACCCTTAAGATTATTATAAGAGTATTTTGATAAAAAAATATATAAATAAAAAAATATTGTTTATAATTCAAACACGAGACTAATAACGCCAAGGTAATCAAGCCATTGAACTAATGAATCATCCATGCACAAATCAATTAAAGCTAGCCATTTCAGAGGGTAAATCAGTTAAACCTGGCCATTTTTATAAGTTTTGGTGTGATGATGTATGTATATATATATATATCCCATGCATGCATGCATGAGGTCTGAAAGTGATGGAGACCAAAGCACCACTGTAAGCTGACATGGACCCCCATGAGCCCACTTTACCTTTACCATACACTTTCTGCCTTCTTGACAATGACTGGTTTCTATTGTGAATTCAGACTCAATTCGCTTGCTTTTCTCTTATTCTGCCTTCGTTGTTACATGTAACCATGATTTAAATTGAGATTATGATGGTATTTTTGGTCGAATATGTTTATCGTGATTATGATAATAATATGTACTATTACGATTATTATAGATACAATTATAAAATAACGATTTCGATACATTAACCATTATTTTAATAACAAATTGTTATTTAAATCTTATACGTAACTTTTACTTCCATTAATACCGGTTTAGATGAACCACGTGCCCAAGTACAAAAGTATAAATAATACATAATCCGATACCTTGTACTAGAGTCCTAGGCTAGCAAAACTGCTTTTAAAGCTTTCATAGTGGGAGAGACGATGTCTAGCTTCTTAAGGACTATCTTGGTTGAATACTTGATTGTTGATGGTCGGATTTGGGCACGGGTCAAGGCAATGGTGGATCACTGATGTATATGATCTTCAGGGTGGACAATATTTCTGGATCTGTAACATCAAGATCGGTTCACTCTATTAGTACGGAGTGGAGAGTTGTGGTAGCAATAGAGATCGGAGTTGGTCCGATAGGGGTTGGTCGAAACCAATAAATAGTAGAGTCGATCATGGTAGCTCGGTGTCATAATGGTTTGCAAGTTATGTTGTTAGGGGACAACAAGGTCTATTTCAGTTGTGTTAGGAAATGACAGTTTAAGATTGCATTGTCAAGCAATAGCTGAGGAGTGTTAGGTTGACATGGATGGAGCCTTCCTCGAGTATCCTTCGACTCTTTTGTAACACCCTTAAGATGGCTTAGTTGAAAGCGTGATAGAAGCTGTCACCTTAACTAATCAAAACTTAGTCAGAGCCGAATCAAAATTAAATCAAAACAATCTGTATTCCAATAATCATCAAACATCCATTTAAGGATGAAATTGTTAATCATATCAAATATGAGGGTTTTAAGTATCGAAACTCACTCTCTAAGTTTCAAAGATTTGATACCTCAAAACTTTCTAAAGTAGAGTAACAAATATTTATTATTGAGTTTCAAAACTCGATACCCAAAAAATACTTTTTTGGCATTCTTAAGCTACAAGAAAAACCTAAAAGCTGCCTTAATATACAAGTACTCTAATGGACAAATTTTAATATGAAAATAGACTTAACATGCATCAAGATCCCAACATCGAAGTCACCTACAATATATTATCAGTTCATTTTAGATTCATATGTTTCATTTATCACATAAATCTTAAAATTAAAGATCATTCGTAAAGACTTACCAAGCTTGCATGTTATTATCTAATAGTATATATTCTTAAAATTTCAAACATCAAACAGTTGATCTATATCACCACCTACACATAATAAACACACTCTCAACATGCTTCAAACATTAGAATCCTCTACACCATGTTTCTCACCTTGCATAAGACTTTGCATCACAACATAACATAAACATAGAAATTATACTATATTAACATGCTAAGGCACGAAAACACATAATCAAATAGTGATACAAATATATACTGATGAGGGGAAAAAACAAACAAACCTTGGGTTCCAAGCAGGATCAACCACAATGACACGATCTGCTTTTGTAATTGTAAGGCCTAGACCACCAACTTGGGATGTCAGAAGAGATATAGGATCCCCAATACCTTCCTGAAAATCCTGTAAATAAAAATCATGTGAACACTGAGAGATTTTAAATCAATCTAATTTTCAAGAACTTACATTAACAATCTTCACTCCGTCGGTTGCTTTTGTAGTACCATCAATACATAAAAACCTGTAGTTGTTTGATGCTAGAGACTCCTGTGAACAACTAAACATAATCAAAGATTGCATTGGACACTGTAATGAATGAGAAATTCCAAATCCAAAGGACAAAACAATTTGAAGATAAAGTCTTTGATACATAGACGGTAGGATTTTAAAACTCCAAGAGTACGATAAAAGACTACCACGTGCGTATTTCATTTTTCGTTCAACTTTCTTTCTTTTTGCTATACCCTAAAACGTACATGTGACCCTCCTAACCTTGATTGCAGAAACTAAAAAGCTGCAATGGTAATCCATTAGATAATTTCTCATTCAAAGGACTCTTTTAACTTATTTCTCAAGTTTGCAATTTCAAGCATTTAAAACCAAGTCAAAGCCAGTTGTATTTTAAACAACAAATACGGAAAATTCATCATAGAAAAGGAGAAAGGAAAGGATGCAGGGAAAAGGATAAGCAATAAACAAGCAAATATAAAAGTAGCAATACACTGTAGCACCTAGGGGTCAAATTCTAGAAATGGAAAAAGAAAAGTTCATCCATTAAAGTAAAACTTAGTCAAGATTCAAGAAATTCCTACCAATCTGCTCATACTAACTAGGTCTATAAGAATTCAGAAGCTTGAAATATTAGACAGAATGCAGCCTTGAAAGGTAAATGAGCTGGAAAGTCAAGGTCTAAAACAAACCTGAATCAGATTTAGCATTTTGCGAGTCTGAGAAAAGAACATGATGACCCTCTGGAATTAAAGTGTCCTGAAAATAGCACCGAATGTATTAGATTTAAGAAGATAATTTATACCTTGGCATTTATACATAAACAGAGCCTCAGCCTCTTACCAAAAGTGAGAGTCTAAAGGATATTTTGCATGAGAGATTGTCATGGTTATCTTGAAAGCCATTTGTTTCAGCAACATGCATGGCCAATTTTTCAGCGACACTGGCATCTTTTGGATTTAGCATCGATTCCATTCCTTCTAGTACATCCTCAGCAGCTCTCTTTGTCAAGAGAAGTGGATGATCACATATTTTCTTAAGAATCTGTTTCAATAAATGGCCACATGTTCATATTACCTTATAAAAAGTTTTAAAGGAAATAATAGCTAACTACATCAAAACTGTACACACCACCTCACTAACTGTTTCAGCTAGACCACATAAATTAACAGCCAATTATGAAGAAAAACAAATCATAAATAAGTCGAAATATGCAGATATTGCAGATAGACGAAAGAGACAAATTACTTTAGAGAAGATATTTTAATCTTGTCAGAATCTGAGATCTAATAAATTCTAACCACCTACATAACCTAAAATAAATATTCTAGGCAAGCAACTGAAAGTTGATTCCTCCAATTGAAAGCAATGCACAAGAACCATACTCTTTAAAATGGAGATTCGAATTTTTCTTGCACATCTTACACAGATTCAGAGAGGAAAAACAATTCCTTTTGGGTTCCATAAATGACACTTGAACATGTTCTCACAACTAAATTTTCAGTATATCAACAAATAATTATTAAAAATCTGGTGACATCCTTGGGCTTTCTTTGGCCAAATATCCCCGAGACTTCAAAAAAAAAACTGGAAGCGTACTACTCTAGCGGCGATTAACAACCAAAACCTCTGAAAATATTCCTTCTAGCTAAAACCTCAAAATCATAGAGAACATTTGACAGGCATGCACATATGCGCATGAAGAAAAAACTAAACATTAATAAACTTGAACAGAAAAATGATACCGTCAATGCAGCTAGAGTTGAGCCATCAAAAGCTGAAAGAACTATCTCACTTTTCAAAAAAGCCTCGTACAGTCGTCGCTAAATGGAAGATGTGAATAACCGTGAGTGGTAATGCTAATAATAATCCACACAAATAAGAGTAACATTCAGAAAAATAATGCTAAGTTCATGAATTTGAACCTGGCAACCAGTCAACTTTAACCATACAATGATCTCATTTTTCTTGGAAAGCTTGGCAGTTGAGTCATTATCTTCACCAAATACCTCTTTCTTTAACCGGCGTAAAAAGTAAGGTTGAATACGTTCTCTGAGCTCCTACATAGAGGGCAAGGGCAAAAAGATCAAAAATGTGTTCTTTCATTTCAAGAAACTTTCAATGGCCATAACATAGATAAGAAAAAAAAAAGAAATAGGCAGCATAATGGATCCAAAACATGGACATTAATAAAATATTATGTAGGATAGATAGTAAAACATATATAATTAAACATTAAAATATAAAAAATAGGCTTCCCTAAAATGCAAATTTTCACTAATAAATTTCACCGGAATGCATTTACTTATAACTTCAAAACCCTCAGCATTTATATGCTTTCAGGTTTTACCAAGACCTTACATGATGAACTTGAATACATGACTCTATACTTTTGTTCAGAGCATTAAACATTGACATATGATAGTTCCTTTTAAATCAACTTTTTACAAAGTCAGTCATGAGATACTGGATGCAGCAAAGATTGATGTGTACTAAGTCTAAAACAAATTAAAATAACTATAACCATGGATGGCCATGATCTAGATAGATTATAGATTGAATACTTTATAAAACTTGAAAAGCAATTTGAGATTAAAATGAAACTTTTACAGAGTAATCCTGTGAGAGTGGAGGTGGAAAAGATTGATGTGTAACAATGTCAATGAATGGTAAGGAATATAAAGATAGATGACAATAGTTTCTGCAACACTGGGTCTTCACAGAGCAATTCGACTTTAACATCAGAATAACTAAAGGATGCCCAACATTGAGCCATCAAAGCTATCAATACCTTTGCAACTGTTGAGCCAATACGCTTTTCTCTCTCAGTTGCATTTTTGTCGTTTCCATGTAAAATAGCATGCTCGTATCTTTCCTTAAACCTGAAAAATATCAAAGACTCTGACATGATACAGAAACATAAAAAACTCTGGTGGAACAAAAACAATTACCATTTATTATCACCAAGTAGCTTAGGATAACAGAAGTTGAACAAGGCCCACAGTTCCTAATACAAAGCAATAAGGCAAAAACTAAGTAGAACATAGTAATTTAAAGTTACTTCCAACATAAAACAAAATACAGTACATCTATGAAGTCAAAGAAAAATGAAGATAAAGTAAAAGATACTACCTTTAGATTGTTCTGAATTGGTGTGCCACTTATGATTATCCAATGAGCACTTGGTATATCAAGCAAACTTTTTGGCCTTTGTGTGCTAGGATTTTTTATAAGATGGCCCTGGAACAGTAAGCAGAAAGAAAGTCAAGGAACATTAAGCACTCGAAAGAAACATAATACATTCAAAAGGAAACAAGCTTCTAAGAAACTACAAACTGAAAGAGATATGTTAGTGAGTGCATCCTAATGCTGTCATCATCAGCAGGCAACCATTAGCAGAAAAAAACACATGCCAAAATTTTAAAAACAAACCCCTAAACCCACGCCGATCACCGCCGTCGCTTGTCTGCTCCTGTCATCGTCCAGCCCAATCGAAGCGTCTCGCCGTCATGATCAAAACACCCAAAACAATTCGTGGATAGCCGTCGCCGTCCGCTGGAATCGTTTCGTCAAAAACCCACCCCGACGCCTCGGATTTTGGACGATTCCGGCCGCCTATGACCTCCGTTCGCCTAACCGCCATTATATTTAGCTTTCTCGTCTCCGTCCGCTCAAAACCCAACCGGTGAGTTACGTCGTAGTCGCAGTCTGCCGCCGTGGGTAAGTTTCGGAGCAAGGATTTGAGTTTTTTTTATAATTTAAAATAAATAAGGTTTTTTTATACATATAATAATATTTTTAATATTTACTTTTAAAAATAAATTTTTAAAATTATCAGATTGTGACATGTGTCACTTAACGGTGAATATTAACAGTCCGTCACGACTTGATCCATTTTGAGTTACGAAATGTAATGTTAGACACCAAATTAAAACGAAAAAAAACCTTAAACATTGAACTGAAAAAACAGACATACGTTGATCCCTTTTTATATATTAAATCCTTATATATAATTAAAAGGTTGATCATTGGTCTTTAACGATATGACACCATAGACTAATAATTAAATAGTGGCAGATCTACTTTTATGTTTAGAGTGAGTACTAAAATTCAATTTTTTTAATTAGTTATATATTCTGTAAGTAGGGTCTAATCTGAATTTTATCTACGCCTTTTGTATTGTCTGCCTTCAAAAATAAAAATATTTATGAATCTGCTATGAGTTATTGTACTCCAATTTATACATGTATTTTCAGTCTTTCCACTAACCTGTATACTCTCTCGAGGAATGTATATACTGCTATGATGCATCATCCATACCACAAATTTAGTATAGTTAAACAATTCAATGTATTGTTACCATAGATACAAAATAATACGCATAACATGATTATATGTAGAGAGATTCTGATGAACATTAACATACCTGTCATAGAATATATAGCTCATAATGCTGTTATATTTTCTGTAAAACATTCTTGTTGCATCAATACACATCCTTGCATTAGGACATCTTTGAGTAACAAAATCCTTACTAACAATTTAATAACAACAGATGGATGCTCGGTAGGCATCGAGCATCAATGGCTAGCTCCTTTTATATCAATATAGTACATAAGCTGGTGTAAAATCTGTAAGGTGTTCGATAGTCTCCACGTATGTGACCGGTTTGATCTCAAAGTTTAGGAATAACGATGCGTAAAATTCCGTCCCTGCATCAGAAGAAGCAATGAAGCCATCTGCATGAGTATCTTTTGGCAATGTATATTCAAAGCATAAGCATGTGGCTGAGAAGAAATCAAGATATATGGCGCCTAGAACTTACAGAAACTCAGCCGAAACGCTGTCCCTGTTCGCATTAGCGGGAAGTGACCACACAACCTGATAAGGCCCTTGTGATATCTCCCTCTTGTGATATGCAGTGATCGAGTCGTTAGATCCATCAGCAGCTAGTTTCCAACAATGGCTAGAGCGTTCACCTGTCACCGTTAACCTGTCAGGAAAACAGTACTCTTATCACAATGGCTAAGAGCGTTCTCCAGTCACATACGAAATGAAAGACCTTAGAATAGTCTAAAAATGTATTAGTCTTACTTGAGGTCATCAACCTCCACTCTAATGTCACCGATGCCAACACCCGGAATTTCAACCATGATCACATAATCGAGCCCGGATTCTGCAACATCCATCCTAGGGAACCATTCAGTGCCTGCATCAAATATAAAAACGAAAACGAATTATCGGCTTCCTGCAAAACTTAACATTAAGAATTATATACTCAAATCAACAAGTTAAAGACCAAATGTATAGAAACAACTGCATCAAGATCATCCTGTTCAGAAACCAAAATTAGTTACCATTAGATCTTGACCAACATGTTTTCTTCACAGATTGTACCGGCATCTCTTCACTCGTACTTTTATTTGGTCTAGCAAACATAGGAGGGTCAGGCATGGGTAATCTCCAATCGAGACTCAGAGGTCGAATTGCCGTCAAACTCGAGAAGCTCGGATCCATCGTCTTAGGTCTGGAAAACAACGGTCCTTCAGAAGCACCAGAACTCTCCGAAGGAGAGCAAGAGGATCTGGAGGGTGCAGCAGGCTGAGGAACACTTCTCTGGGGCAAACCATCGTAGAATTGTTTAATCAGATACAACATAGAACCAAAAGTTTGTGTTTGACTGCAAAGGAAAGCAAAGCAGGGATGGACGGAGGGGCCGTCAGCCGGAGGTTGTACCTTGAAAATTTCGAATTCTAGTATAATTGAGGTGTTTTCATTATATTTTATAGAGTTAATCTCATCACACGTCATCAAATTATGATTTTTATTCTAAATTAGTCATTAAACTATTAAATGTTCCAATTGTATCCCAAACTATGATTATTATTCTAAATTAGTCCTCAAACTTTTTCATATTTTATTTTCATCCTCAAACTATAACTTCATTTTAAATTAGTCCTCGAACATTTTAAACATTTCAATTTCATCCCAAACTATATTTATATACTAATCACATCCTTTGTAAATAAAATCGTTAGACCAAGTTATATTATTATATGTTTGAAAAAAAAAATCGATTTTAAACTATGCTTGAAACTAATTACATATTTGAATGACTTGGGGTGAATTTGAAAGATTCAAAAGTTTGGAAACTAATTTAGAATGAGGGTCATAGTTTGAGGGTGAAATTAAAATGTTCAAAAGTTTAAGAACTAATTTAGAATGAAAGTCATTGTTTGAGCATAAAATTGGTTGAGGATCATAATTTGGTAACGTACGAATGCAATTAATTATAATTTATATTGACAATTACTTTTTATATTTAAAATTTTATATGTTGATTCCTAACATATTTATCAATTACCTCTGCTCTTGAAACTTGTCTCATGAAACAAGCTTGATATGCTGACCCTTGGCGTGAAAAATACGGTCTATTATCACATCTACGGACCGCACAGTTCAAACTCCCACTGCAGTTCTGCGATGCGAAATCCAGGAAAATTGAATTAACTTTGTACGAGCAATCAACTGGAAGAATTAAAAGGCAGAAACACGATTGGGGAACCTACATGCTTAATGCTGAATTTCAACCTTTCGCTTTGTAAACTAACTCGTAATTTTATAAATTAGACTCAATTCGGAAAAAAAAATTCAATTCGAGTCGAGTTATAAGATAAAATTCGAATAGCTCAAAAATTTTAATAATTAATAGATTGATTTTAAGGTTTAAGTTGAATTCTTCGATTTTATATGATATATATATATTATCACATACTAACAAATTCGATTTAAAAAAATAAAATAAAATTTAAGTTATAGAATAAGACTCGTTAAACTAAATAAGTAAAAAAAAAGTTAAACTTGAAACCCTCACCCCTAACCAAGGTTAATTCTTTGAAAATGAAGAGCAGTAAATAGCAACAACCCAAATAAGCTTTTTTCCAGCTTCGATGAGTTTACTGCAATATTATCTGGGGAAAGATGGAGAAAATAAAAGAGTATTACCATGGGGAGAAGGTGAGCAACAGATGAAACATCGTCATTGGGTGAAAAATGGGCTGCAATATTGCTGATTCTGCGTCTTGCTGCTTCGTTTTCCATTTTGGGTTTTCCTAAAAGACGGATGGCTTTGCATATTCCATCAATTTCAAGTCTTTTAAGCTCGGCTTCTGTGCTTGAGTCCATAAAAAAAAATCTGGGTTTCAGATATTTTCTTCTTCTTGTGGTAGGACATTACACTGGCACGTCAAAATATCCAACAAAAAGGGGGCGACACACCTTAGCAAAATATTTCAGTTTTTTTTTTTTTGGATTTTTTTATAATCACTCGTCTTTAATTTTGATACAAACCAAATCACCTCGGCATTAAATAAATTATTATTATTTTTAAAAGTTTTGAATTTAAGTAAAGTATTTTAAAAATATTTAAACGTTTATTATTAAATAATTAAAAATATCTTAATTAAATATTATCTTATAATCGTTATAAATTAATTTAATTTTTTATATACTTGTGGATTTAAATCAATATTATAAAGACTAATTTTAAAACAAGATGTGAATTTTCGATTAAAGCATTACATGATTGAATAATAGAGAATGTCAACTTTTACATTCAAAAAGGAAAGTGGGCTCATCCTTGAAAATTAAAACCTTTTTTTATTGAAAAAAATGACTGTCCCTTTTTCCCATATGTATGGGGTAAGGAGAGGTAAGATAGTAGGCTACCCCCAACACCAGGTTGAGAGCAGCTTCCGTAAGAGACCTCCGAATTATGAAATGCCCTCCGTAGGACTCGATCCCACGACCTCAAGGTTAAGAACCTTGTGCTCTACCAACTGAGCTGGATGGTCATTTTAAGGTAAGGTACATAAATGACCCTTCGGTTATGAGGATGTTGTTTTGTTGTGTTTTTCAATTATTAAAAATTATAAAATGATCCATCGATTATAAGATTGTTTTGATGAGTCCATTGACTATTAAAAGTTTGAAAATGTTCACTCTATTATTTATATGTTTCAAACTCACCTCTTTTTCTGTTAAAAAATTGACGGTCGTTTGAGCTGGACATTAACATGTTAATTGAGATATGATAGTCTTTTAATATTTTGATATTAGATTTTATCATATCTCAGTCAACAAGTTAACATCTAACTCAAACTTTAATTAATTTTTTAACAGAAAATGATGAGTTTGGAACATATAAATAATCGGGCAACCATTTTATAGCTTTTAGTATGCGAGGGACTCAACAAAGCAACACTCTATAGTCGATTGACCGTTTTGTAACTTTTAATAGTCAGAGGACTCAACAAAATATCACCCTATAGTAGGGGGATCATTTGTGTATTTTAGCCTTATTTTAATTATAATTGATATTAAATTATAAGTTTGAGTTTAAATATTATTTCTTTATTTTTTAATAAAAATCGATTAAAAGTATATTAAACCGTAAGTGTTTTACCTCAATTTTCAATTTTTAAAACAGATTATTAATATCTGCTAATTAAAGCTTTCCTAACCATTATTATTGTCCTGAAGTCTTATTCAATCACTTGCACTAATTTTTAGTTGGGTAAATTACATATTTAGTACTTAAATTGTCACTTTTGATCTGTTTTAGTACTTCAATTTTCATTTTTTCAAAATCATACCTGAAGTTTAGTTTTTGTTTCATTTTAGTACCTTTTTAAAATTTAATGTTAATTTTTGAAGAAAAAAGAAGTAAAAGTTTAGGTACTAAAACAGACCAAAATTGATAGTTTAAGTATTAAACGTGATAAGTTTTTAGCAGCGAGGTACTAAAATAAAATAAAAACTAAATTTTAAGTATGATTTTGAAAAAAATAAAAGTTTATAGATACAAAATTGGACCAAAACTAATAATTTAAGTACTAAATGTGTTGTTTACCCTTTATAATATTTTGTTATTTTTACCTCATAAATTCCTTACCTAAGACTTTTCGAATTCTTCCTAACATTTTATACAACCATCTATTTCCTAATATATATATTTTTACCTCATAAGTTCCTTATCTAAAACTTTCCTATTCTTCCTAACTTTCTATATAACCCTTTATTCTCTATTTTTTTAGATCATAATTTTTTTGTCTATAACTTTTATTTCTTAAATTTATTAAATAATCTTAACAATTAAGATAAATGTTGTTTTCTTTTAAAGTCATGAGTTCGAAAAGCTATATATGCAGTGTTGTCAATAATTAAAACATATTATAAATAAATATTATCTTATATTAAAAAGGATATACTGTTCCAAACATTTTTTTGATAATAATAAAACTAACCAAAACCAAAACATGAAACAATAAGCTGATGGTAGATTAAACATGCAGGGCAATAAATTTCAAGTTAAATCTTTATTCTAATCTATACTATTCTAGCAATTTTAAAGAAAGTCATATTAATATAAGGATAAAAGACAATGCAACTGGAAATTTGAAAAAAAAAACTTAACAAAATTGGTTTGACGCGATTGAAAATATTGACTTGTATGTAATATATTGGGTTGTAATTATTTTAAAATAAATTAAAATGGTTTAACCGGAAAACTTATCTTAAAAGTTAAAAGCGGAAGACAAAATGTTATAATACGAAACTACAAAAGTTATCAATCGTAGTAACATAGCGTATTACATCTAAAAAGTTATAACAGTAAGAAAATAAGTTATAAACAGTAAATGTTATGAATATTATTAACATTTTAGGTTACACCTAAAATGTTATCAGAGTTCAAGTTAGTGGTTCCTTAGACATTCTCACGATAACAAAATAAGTTAAAAAGCTGAAAATGTTATAAATATCTATAAGAAATCTACTTATACTCATTAAGAAATAAAGTAAATTGCGATTTGGAATGTTATTTTTTTGTAATAAAATAGGTTGTGCCTAAAATGCTACTAGCGTTTAAGCTGATGGGAGCCATAGACATTCTCACGATAACAAAATAAGTTAAAAGCTGAAAAAGTTATGAATATCCATAAAAAAAATCTGGCTATGCCCAAGAATATTATGGTTCACTAAGAAAGTATGTTGCGATCTCGAATGTTAATATTTTATTATAAAAAATTCAAAAGTATTGATATTTTCCCACAAGTATCGATATTTTTGAATTAAAAAAATGAAAAATGATAAGGTTATAAAATATCGATATTTTTCACAAATATCGGTACTTTCAAATTTTAAAAAAGAAAAAGAAAATAAGAAGGCTGCAAAATATAAAATTTTTCCATAAATATCAGAGCATAAATATCGATATAAATGAAAAAGTATCGAACAATATAATATATGTATATATATTTTAACTGTAGATCATCTTCATCAACTTTTTCAATATATAAAAGTATTGGTCATCATCGCATAAGTATCGATATTTTAGATTTCAATATTTTTATCAACTTTTTCAATATTTAAAAGTATCGATCATTATCATATAAGTATCAATATTTTAACTTTCGATCCCATCTTCAAATTTTTCAATATTTAAAAGTATTGATTATCATATATTAAGTATCGATATTTAAAATTTTGAACTGTTTTTTTTTAATTTTTTTTTCTCGATTCACTCTAAATAGATATTTATACTTATTCATCGATAACATTCTTAGGCGCAACTAAATTTATTATATATATTCATAACATTTTTAGCTTTTAACATATTTTGTTCGAAGTTAAAGTAATATTTTAGGCGCAACACATTTTATTAATAAAAATATTAACATTCAATATCACAACTTAATTTCTTAGTGAACCATGACATTCTTGGGCACAATCGTAATTATTATAGATATTCATAGATATTTTAGCTTTTAACTTATTTTTGTTATCATGCGAAAATCTAAGGTTTCATCAACTTAAACTCTGATAATATTTTAGGCACAACCTATTTTATTAATAAAAATATTAACGTCCCAAATTGTAACCTACTTTCTTAGTGAATCATAATATTCTTGGGCTCAACCATATTTATTATAGATATTCATAACATTTTCAAAATTTAACTTATTTTATTATCGTAAGAAAACCTAAGGCTCTATCAACTTAAACTTTGATAACATTTTAGGCGCAACCCATTTTATTAACAAAAATATTAATATTCTATATCACAACATACTTTCTTAGTGAACCATGACATTCTTAGGTGCAACCATATTTTTTATAGATATGTATAACATTTTCAGCTATTAACTTATTTTGTTATCGTGAGAATGTATAAGGCTCCATTAGCTTAAACTCTGGTAACATTTTAAGCACAACCTATTTTATTAATAAAATTATTAATATTACACATTGCAACATACTTTCTTAATAAACCATGACATTATTGGGCGCAACCATATTTTTTTATAACAAAATATTAATATTAATATTCCATATCGCAACATACTTTCTTAGTGAGTCGTAACATTATTGGGCGTAGTCAAATTTTTTTATAGATATTCATAACATTTTCGACTTTTAACTTATTTTGTTATCATGAAAATGTCTACGACCCCATTAACTTAAACATTTTAGGCGCAAATCGATCTTATTACAAATAAAATTAACATTCTGGATCGCAACCTACTTTATTTCATAGTGAGTGCAAGTGCGCAATCGGATTTCTTATAGATATTCATAATATTTTCAGCTTTTAACCAATTATGTTATCGTGAGAATGCTCTATCAGCTTAAATTATGATAACATTTTAGGTTGAGCCTAAAATGTTAATAATATTCATGACTTTTACCGCTTATAACTCATTTTCTTATAGTTTATAACATTTTAGGCGTAAGTTGGTAGAGTGCAAGACTCTTAACCTTGTGGTCGTGAGATCGAGTCTCACTGAGGGCAATTTCATAACGGAGGTCTTCCACGTAAGCTGCTTTCAACCTGGCGTTGGGGGTAGCCTACTGCCCTACCTCCCCCTTACTCTATTACATATGGGAATAGAGTCAGTTAATTTTAAAATATTAAAAGTATTAATGAGATTTATTGTTTATAACTTATTTTCTTACATTTTATAACATTTTAGGTGCAACATATTAGGTTACTCGGATTAATAATTTTTTCAATTTCAAATTACAATATTTTATATTTAACTTTAACATATTATTTTTTTACCGATTACACCAATTATGTACCTTTTTTGGGGCCTCACATGAGAACTCTCAATACTATTTCTCCATCAACGATTGTTTAAAAACCCGTGAATTCATCGTCGCAATGACCCACTCTCCACTCGAAAGAAGAAACTAATCTACATTAAGTGTCCGTTTGTTTAACTGAAAACGTTTTTCAGAAAATGAAATTTGGAAAATGTTTTACATAAATGTAAATCATTTTTCAGAAAATATTTTTCAGCGTTTGGATGGTACATTGTAAAATGTTTTACACTGTTTGGTTAATTTTTCTGAAAGCAACTTTCAAAATCTGTTTTTAATAAAGAAGATGTACATATTGAATATGTTTTATTATTTATTATTTATTATTTTTAAAGGTTCATTTTTTATATATAATTATATTTTATAAAAATATGTATTTTAAATAATATTAATAATTGATTAAAAATATATTATAAAATTTATAAATCCTAAGAATGCTTAATTAATATGACATCAAATTAAAACAACAATAGTACATAATATTGTAATAATAATAATAGTGTCAAAAATATGACTTCCAATGTCTTCTCATTAGTACTAAAACCAAATGGATTGGTTGATGGATTACTGGCAAACTACATAAGCTCAGTAATTCGCTTGCATACAACAAGACAAAGACTTATCATAAATGGTGCCGGTATGTTAAACTTTGCACCGTTTAAGTATCTTAAGCCACAGAGCTTTGATTCACTAGGGGTACGACTTCTCAAATTGTGACTCATCGCAATGTGGGTCTAGCCAATCCCTGGGGAACCCTTGGACATGTTGGGGGCTTGCTTTCCCACCACCTACAAGCTCTTTCAAATTTTCCACCTTGTTCTCTCGCCCGGCCCCGCCGATCCTTCTATCAGCTTGTTTTAGTTTTTGTTTAAACCGTTGCCTACGACTGGACAGGTTCAGCTCCTGCTGCCTTGATTGTGATGATGGTGCACCATGCGGTCCCAAGTAAATGTTCTCTCCTTTTTTGGTCTGCACAAGCAGAAATATAAACATGTCTACATATTAGCGTCTATTCGTCCACAAGACAAAAGGCTTCAAATAAATGAGTACACTCTTGGCATCTACAGGTATAGATATTTGCAAGCTAGGAATCACGAATCCATCACTGTCTGATGAAAAATATAAAGTACATGGATTAAAATAAGATATCTCAAGTTAATCAATTTCAATGATATACCTTTTTTTTCCCTCTAAAACAAAGGAAGTAAATATAAACAATGTCTCAGCACATTAACAAGTAACTTTATCAAAGCAAAAAACCACACAACAATAAATCACTAATTCACTATGTTCATTGGAGACATGGAAACTCTCACCCTCTCTACTGATAACGATCAGAAAATGATACAGCATATTCTCTCTAATCCTAAAAGATGACCCTTTACAAGAGGCCACTTAGCACAACCATCTATGAACTATGTGCCAAGATATAATGATCTGCACAACTAGTGGCGGAACATCCCTACCCAACCAAATTTCCCCCGCCCTACAAGAGGTCACTGATTGAGAAAACATAAACAACAAACTAATGGAAATCAGAAAAAAGTCAGCAGCATATACAGGCACAAGAGACAGGAATCGGAATGTCAATCAATTGCAAACCTGAAAGTGAGGAGTTAAAAAAATGCATATGTTTTTACTATCATCTTTCTATAGAACCAAAGGCAATAAAAGAACAATGAACAATTAAAGCTTCATGATCTTATGCATCTGCGAATACAAACATGCTTTCTTTTGCCAGTTTATAAGTTTATCTAAGAGATGCCAAGTTATTTATTCTTTTACTTATCCCTCACACCGATATCCTCCACAAAGTGAAGCTTCATGAACTTATGCATAAGATCATCAAATTCTATACAAAGGTAAACAGATACCAACTAAAACAATAAAGAATAATACAAGATACTATAATAGCATGGTAATGAAGGAAACACATAAACCTCAACTTAATGTAACAAGATATGGATACGATCATGATCCACCAATCAAGAGAAAATCAACAAAAAAAATTAAAATAGATAATTATAAATACCAAATATCGTCCAATATTCATAGTGAATCGATTCAAATATCCAATTCTCTCACATATATCAGTAGAATCTAAAAAACCCCATATCTAGAAATTAAAAATAAACAAAAACCCAATTATAAAAATTTGATTTTTAGCTAAAGATCCAAAATCCTTCTAATTACCAGAATTTTCCAGATAAACAACCAGAGAAAGAGAGAAAGAGAGCTAACTCTTCTTGTTCATGGGGTGAAGAAGTGGTGTGCACTAGAGACGAGTCCATGAGATACTGGAGATCATGGATTTTAATGGCGAAAGGGCAATAAAGCCCGAAAAAAAGAAAGATTATTGAAAATATTTTGATGTTTCGATATAACAAATAAAATATTATTGAATTTTAAGATTTTATATTCAATTTGAAATTATATATTCGATTAAATTATTCGAATATAAAAAATATTACTCCAAGTATTCAAATGTCAATTTTAATCCTTACTTAAGTGTAAAATTGTGTTTTAATATTAAAATAATTTTGAAACAAATTTTACAAAGTATTTCGAACCATACTCGAGCCAAAAATAATTTTTACAAAGGGATGTACCGATACACTCCTATATGTACCGATACACCCCATACATCAAATGTAATAAGTGTACCGATACATAGCAGATGTATCGATACACTCCTAGCTCCGAGAAACATCGAATGTAATCAATGTACCGATACACCTGAGATGTACCGATACACTAGGTCAATTAACGGTCGAAATATTTGAATTTTACACTGAGTGTACCGATACACTTTAATAGTGTATCGATACACATAGGATGGGCATCTAACCCGAACTCGATGGGTTCCAACCCGACCCGATCGAGTCGGATTTTTCTAAAAACAATTCGGGTTCGGGTCGGGTCGAGTTCGGGTTTAGGGTGAAAAAAATTCGACCCGACCCGACCCGGAAAAAATATATAACTTTACCCTATATATTTAGGAATAATTACAATAATACCTCTCTATATATTATTTTTTTCAATTTAGTCACTGTTTTTATTGAATAAAAATAATTTTTTATTGTTTCGGGTCGGGTCGGATCAAATTTTTTAAACTTTCTATCAGGTCGGGTCGGGTGAAAAACTAATTTTGTCGGGTCGGGTCGGGTCACGGGTGGAGGTCCCCTTCTTCTCAGGTCGGGTCGGGTGGACCAAAAACCCGACCCATGCCCATTCCTAAATACACATACGCTCCCAACCGATTTTTTTAAACGAGAAACATACAACAACGGCTTAATTGTGCATACAATCTACATTGTGAGGTTTTAATCTTCTCTTTGTGAGAGAGTGTTCTCAAGAATTTGGGGTAGAATTCTTGAGGGAGTTGTAAGGTTACTTTTTGTCCTCAAAAGAAAGAACAAATTAGTGAATTTGTTGGAAAATTCTTAGTATAGATAGCTAAGGTAGTGGACGTAGACTTTGGTTGAGAAAGTCGAACCACTCTAAATCGCTGTACAAATATTTTTAATTTTCTGTCAAAGTTTTCACCAAAATTTTAATTGTCAATTCACCCCCTCTTAGCTATATCATCGATCGATTAACTCAACAGAGATCAACAAAAATCAATAGAACAAATCCAAAAAACAAAAAAAATAAAAAGGAGAAAGCTACGCAATATATAAAAAGAAGAAAAGACCCATACCTGAAAAAATGTAATAAATCAATTTCATCGGTGAGAAGGAATCCAAACTATCGTCGGTGTGGAGTAAGGGACGGGAGAAATCAATTTTCGTCTTCTCTGAGTGGAGCAAGGGTTGCTTGGAAAACAACTTACCATTTTACAAACGGTAAGTCAAAATATTATATATTTTCCTTAGTTTTTCGTTGACCGTAAAAAATTTTACGTTGACTGAGTATCTTACACGAATCAAACACCCAAAAACGGAAAAAACATTTTTCCCTTAATTTTTTCCGTTCCAAATGGACCCTAATAATAAAAAACTGCTCTCACGAAATTATTGAATTGAAATTAGGTAAATATGTCTTTAAATTGCTTGAGACTTGTTTCCCACTCTTTTAAGAAGCCTCCTATTTTTCATCTCAGCTACTCGTCTTCTTCGTATTCTTCTTCCCCATCAGTGATTGTATCAATGTCTTACAGTAAGGAGCTGGCTGCTGCCAAGAAAGCAGCCTCTCTCGCTGCTCGTCTCTGTCAGGTTTCCATTTTTCATCAAAACCCACATTTTTCTCTGCGTTTTCTGTTATGGGTTTTTACCAATTTTCTCACATCCTTTGTTTTTGTCTTCTTCTCTGTGTGTTTATTTTATTTTTATCACGATTTCTTTGCATGTTGTTTGGAATTGTTAATCGTTGTAGTATTAGGGGAATTGAAGTGACTGAATTGCATCTCATTTTGTTTTTCAATTAAATTTGGGGTTTTTGTTCTGAATTACCATTCTTAATTTGCCAAGAAATGTATAAAGATGATGGCTTTGATATATTTCATCATGTCAAGCTGTGTATATATAGAACCTGAATTTGGGTTTTGATTGTTTGTTTTTAATCTCCAGAAAGTTCAAAAGGCTTTGCTACAATCGGATGTCCAATCCAAAAAAGATAAAAGTCCTGTAACAGTCGCTGATTATGGTTTGTTTTTGAATCTTTCTTGCTTCTTCCTCTTTGGTTCTTTCGTCTAATACTTCACCTTTTTTTTAAAGAAATTATACCTTCCGGATTTCAAATGGATTCCTATTTTTTTTTTTCTTTTCCGTGGATGATTTACTTAATTCCTTTTAACTGTTTACATGTTACTAGGAACTTGTTTGTTTCCTGTTTTTCATGATTTGTTCTACTAGGAAATCTACAGAGTTGTATGGTGTTTTCCTTGGCATTTAGCTAAAGTTTCTATTGGATGAGATTTTTTTTCCTGGTGAAATCAAAATGGCATTGTTGTTATACATGTAGACTAGTGCTTTGTTTGGTTAGCATATCTAAAGTGTGATTACATTGTTCTATCGTACATTGGCCTGCTTGATAGTTGCCTCCAGTTTACCTCTCTCAACCGTCTGTTCTATCTGTACATATCGATGTTCCGGGGGAAACTATGTAAAACTCGTACATATTTACTTGTTAGATGAATGCATTATTATTTGTATAACTCATAGTCATGATTAAGTTTTATGAAATTCACTTTTTGCTTTTTACATTATTTATCCCTAAAAAACTTATGGTTAAAGTGTATGTCGTTCTTGATCTCAGCATCATTCAGCTTTAAGGTTTGGCAGAAAGAAATCTTAACTGATGACTAACATGTTTCCTCGACATTTTTATATTTCAAAATTCTCATCAGGGTCACAAGCATTGGTTAGTTTTGTGCTGCAGCAGGAAATTCCTGCTGACTTCTCATTAGTTGCGGAGGAGGTGAATCTCTGTACTTGTGAAAAATAGTTTCAGCAGCATGCGTCAACCATCTGTTTTTTTCCCTCTTTGCATTGTAGAACTCTTCTTTCCTTCTAAATAATGTTTTGAGTTCTCTTTAGGATTCTAAAGATCTCCGCAAGGATGGTGGCCGGGAAATAGTTGATCGTATTACAAAACTTGTGAACGAATCTATAACTAGTGATGGATCATACAATGTTACATTATCCACAGAAGATGTTCTCGAGGCCATTGACAGTGGCAGATCTCAAGGTGGTTCCCAAGGTCGACACTGGGTTTTGGATCCTATAGATGGTACTAAAGGGTGAGGTCTGAAACTTATTCGGCATGAGTTATTTTGCTTTAGTCATAAAGAAGTGGGTGTATTCATTTCACTGAGTGCATGTTGTTTATGGTATGCCTTATCCAACATTAGGTAGTGTACTTCCAATTTCACTACTTAAGCCATGATTAATGCAGGGGATGTTTAGATTTTCTTTGCATTCTCTGTTAATTAGTGTAGAAGGACTAATTTAGGGAGGGGGGGGGGGAAAGGGCAACCGTAGCAGTACTCATGCCAGACAAAGCATATTTTTGTCATGGTTTTGTTTGAATTTATTGCTTTGGAATTAAGGGTAAAGTACACAAATGGTCCCTCGATTATAGGTGCTATTATGTTGAGTTCACTGACTATTAAAAGTTACAAAATGGTCCTTCGACTATAGGGCGTTGCTTTGTTGAGTCTTTCGATTATTAAAAGTTACAAAATGGTCACCCGACTATTCCTATGTTCCAAACTCGTCTTTTTTGTTAAATGATTGATGGTCGTCTGATCTGAATGCTGATTGGGACATGATAGTTGTTTGAGATTCTAAGATTAGATTTTATCATTATCTCTGTCAGCAGGTTAACATCCAACTCAAATTACCGTCAAATTTGTAATGGAAAATGATGAGTTTGGGACATATGAATAGTTGAGTGATTATTTTGTAACTTTTAATAGTTGGGGACAACAAAGCAACACTCTGTAGTCGGGGACCATTTTGTACGTTACCCTAGAATTAAATGACTGGTTTTTAACGAAATTACTCAGATTTTATGTTTCTTTTTATCTTTTTCATATTGTTTGGATTTCATTACAATTTGGTGTGAAAGAAATAGCGTAATGATATTTAATTCTCATTATATCTGCTTATAGACCGACTTGATGAATTAGTCCATGGTATTTGATATTTTACACTTTAGATTTCTGAGAGGAGATCAATATGCAATAGCCTTGGCTTTGCTAGATGGAGGAAAAGTAGTTCTAGGTGTGCTGGCTTGTCCAAATCTTCCACTAACGATCATCAGTGCCGCTGATCAGCGTTCTCCAAATAATGAAGTTGGCTGCCTTTTCTTTGCTGAAGTCGGTGGTGGAACTTACATGCAGCCACTTGATGGTTCTTCGGCAGTGAAGGTTATACTGATGTATTATAATTTATTGCTATTAATCCGAGCATGTATTTGTAACTTCTACATTTTTATGGGTCCAGGTGCAAGTAACTGCTGTTGAGAATCCTGAAGAAGCTTCGTTCTTTGAGTCATATGAAGCAGCACACTCCATGCATGATTTATCTAGTCTGATTGCTCAAGTACTTCCCCTCCCCTATCTCTCTATCCATCTATAAAACTTTGGGATAATTTATTGAGAACGCTGAGATGTAAACAGAAACTCGGCGTCAAAGCACCACCGGTTAGAATCGATAGCCAGGCAAAGTATGGTGCTCTGTCCAGAGGAGATGGAGCCATATACCTGCGTTTTCCTCACAAAGGGTATCGGGAGAAAATATGGGATCATGCCGCTGGGTGTATTGTTGTGACTGGTATGGACCAATATCACTCCATCTGCTATTTATCTTTCTCTCGAGTTGTTTGACTGGTATTGGTTTAATATTCTGCGTTTTCGTTTGCGAAAATTCATGAATTGCAGAAGCGGGGGGCGTGGTCACAGATGCTGCAGGGAAGCAGTTGGATTTCTCGAGGGGAAAGCATCTTGATCTGGACACTGGGATCATTGTGACCAATCAAAAGTTGATGCCGTTGCTGTTTAATGCAGTTAGAGAATCCATAAAGGAGAAAGCTGCATCCTTGTGATTCCTTTTAGAAGCTGGCTTCACCCTCCTTGCAATTTGCTGTTGAAACTTGATTACTTTTGCTTGCCTTCTGTGCTTGAATGTTTTAATTTCTCTCACATTTACATTTAGCATGCATGAACGAGAATGGGATCAACAAATCACATATCAAGAGATTGAAAGCATGGAGACAGTTGTTCTATTTAAAGATTTGTGGTTATCACTTGAAAGCTTCTGTTTTTTTTTTCAAGAGATGTTTCCCTAAAGTACGTTTCATGAACCCATTAAGCAATCCTAGAGGTTAAGAAAAATGTCGTCCTCTCTAGAGATTTTGGGTTTGAATAGTTGTATATGACTAAAACATGTTCTACTCTGCAACTTTATCAAAATACAAGTATGCTACTCTCTAAATATGGCAGAATTTTTAGATTATTTCCACTCTTAGAATGTTACAGAGAGTTTTACTTGATGGATAAAAAATATATATAAAAATTTAGAAAATGTGCATAATTATTTCAAAATTTTCTATTTACATATATAATAGGTCCAAAATTTTTAGAATTTTACTTCAATAACTCTTTAGTAGTTTTAAAATAAACCCCTCAGAATTCAGTGCCCAAATATGTCACTACCCACACTCTCATTAACCCATTAGGTCGATTTTGGTCAACATATTTATTTTGATTCTCATTTAATCTTGTTTTAATTATAATTTGATATAATATTTAACCATAAATAAAATATCAAAATTAATTTAAGTGTTTTTTAATTTTATAATTAATCTAGGTTCTAATCTTTATTTAAAGATTTCTATTCACTTTTGATCATTAATAATATTTTAAGATAAATAAAAAATATTGAAGGTTATAAATAAACAAAGACTTTTGATCCAGTGGTTGGGTTGTTCAATCAGAGTTCTTCTCCCCACAATAGTGAAACACGGTGAATTATTATTATTATTTTATATAGGAAGAAGTGAGATTAAAATAATTTTGTGACATTTTTTGTGTGGAGATAATGAGTAGAAAGAAGAGAAAGAGAGAACGCCTGTTCTTCATTCTTTAGATTTACATGATGATTTATATACATATTTTTATTGTTGATGTCAGACTGATACTTATTTATAAGTTATCAAGATAATTAGATATAACTGTTAGATAGTAAATTTAATTAGTAGATCACATAAGTTTACTAATATATTGTCAAGGGACGCTAATTAATCAAAGGATATGAAACTCTGATAGTTTTGAGGTTGATATATATATAGGAATGAAAACAAAAATATGGCTTGCAGTTGCAGATAAAGTTAGGAGGAGATGCAATATTTGTTCTCATTAGTTAAAGGAAATCTCATAAAATGACTTAATCTAAACTTGCAAAGAAAAATGCATTTATTGTATTAAATGAGTTGTTCCTCAAGATTCAATATTATAGTTGACTTTAAGTAGTTGAATGATGACAATTTTATCCAAATATCAATTAAAAAATAATTAATTAACAAAATAGCTTGTATTTTATATTATTTTTCAATCTATCATTCTTTTGTGTTTATAAGTGAAAGAGACTTTTTAGGAAGATTCTTTCGCTTAACTGACATAAAAATGTAGAATTCTTTAAGTTGGACTAAATGAAAGAAAAATAAAAATAGGAGGTTAAGATATGAAAAAATTTATATAAATTTTATCTAAAAATAATAAGTGTGTTGCGTGTCAAAAGACACGTAATTGAACGACTCAAGCATGAGTTGAACCGTGCGATTGCGATGATGCACATATAATAGTCCAAATCATTTAAATAAGTGAATTTTCAAGTGTTCAAATATAATATTTTAAGTATTTATTTATTAAATGATTAAGCATATTATTAATAAATACACATCATCGTTGTCTAGTTCGATTTGTGCTCTTTCTTGTACTTGTATAAATACATTTTGTCACGCCCCCAGAACTTCGACGCCTCACACCGTCGGAATATCAGAGTCAAGGTCTGACGGGTCGTGCGGCCTTAGACGCTTTAGACGCTCCTCGGTCTTAATCGGCGACTAAGTAAGCCTTACCCAAGCTAAGTGAGTGTGCAAACTCACAAAGGTTGGAACCAAGCCCTCAAGGCTTCGGATTGCGGAAGCTTTAAAACACCAACGTGGCTACTCGGAGCCACAAGGTCGGACTATCGTGTGGAAGTGCTAACACGAAGGTGGCTACTCCTGGCCACCGAGATAGGCAACAAGAACAAAGAAACTAAGAACTCAGAAAGAATAGAGCAAATGCCTCAGAGCTTTATTACTCTCTCACAAAGAGAAGAATGGAATTGGGTGATTACAAATGAGGAGGAGAGCTCTCTATTTATAGTTGAGCTCCCTCTCAATCAATGGCCTAGATCATTTTACATCAACGGCTAAGATTTGCCCAATTAATGACAAATCCCCTAAATCAAGGAATTACAACCAAATCCTTCCTAATTACATCCATTAGTAGGATTCTTTCCTTGGATAGGTGTTCACACTGGATATGGTAAGATTTTCCCATAATATCTTCCTGATTTTGTTGCCTCTTGCCATATTTACCGAGCTTCTGTGATCATCTTCAGATATGATGCCACTTTCCTTTTCTGCACGGCCAATGTGAACGGGCTCCATAGAATTCTCCAAGCGATGGGCCAAGTCTGGTGGCTTTGGCAAGCCCGATAACTATCTTGAGATTCCCTTTCGGACTCTTGCACCAATGTCTTAGCAAGCCCGATCTTCTGTCTTGAACCTCTCTGTCGGACACTTGCACCAGTGTCTCGGACCCAAGTTCCTAGCCCGTGACACTCTCCCCCACTTAACTTAGCGACGCCCTCGTCGCTGCACTCAACGATCTTGGGCAACACCACTTTGGATACTTTTCCTTGCCTTGGCTTGTTGCGGTCCTCCCATACGCACTGCTTGCCTTGGCTTCTGCCGCATGTAACTTCACGATCCCTCGCGCCATACTTCACATCAACTTGGTTGCCTTTCGACGCCTTCGCTTGCTCATGTCCCCCCATAAGGACTCAGCCTCCCATAATGGCTGTGCTCGCTTCGGCTCTTACCGCCAAGTGATGAAACAGGCTAACACGCCCACAAGTGCATCTCTTCCGTAGGAACTCCTTCCTACAAGTCTTGATTTGCCTCGACTTGGACCTCCTTGTCCCTTGCGGCAAAGTCTTGGATCCCATCCAAACTTTGTTCCATCCGCGTTAAGAGTTAGGTCTTGCCCGACCTACACTCACTTGAAATTGCAAATCAAGCTCACAAAAACACAAGAATAGTGTTGAGATGTACCTTCCCCTCTGATTTAGTTGGCATTTGCTCAAATTTTTGCGTCAGCCCTTCTTACTCCATGAAGTCTGACACTCCCCGCATTGAACCCTTGTCATTGGAGTTCTTTGCGCCATCCTGCATCGGCACTTTCTCGCGGCAAAGTCCGATGCCCTTCCTCGCATCCTCCCTTCTAACACGAAGGGTGGAGCTCGCTTCCCACCTTTGAAATGGGTGGTGTCTCCACGGTTGCCTTGTCCCTCAACGTCTTGGCCTCCTTCGACTCTTGTCTACGAGTCTTTGAAGGATTGTTCCTCTCTTGAACATCCTCGGCAAGCCCTTGCTTCGACTCCTTGGACATGGTCAACTCGGTCTGCCCTTGGCCTCTACTTGCTTTGGCAGAAATGAACCGTATTGAGCCAAGTTGCAACGCCCCTTCGATCTTTGGTTCGTCCTCTTCATTGGACAACACGATCCTGGGCTCATCCGTTACCTTGGATGACTCGACTCCCCTCGGGTAATATTGCAACACTGTTGGCACCTCAAGTTTGCGCCCCTTTGCTTGCTCGACTCTTACCCTCGGCTTATCATCTGTGTCACTTGAACTAGTGCACACATCATCACCAGATCCACCGTCTGGTTCATCATTGAGTGGACTTTCCCTACCACTCGAGGAACAACATTCCTCATCCTTCGACTTGCCTTCATCTCGGAATCTCCTGCCGCTACCCTCGGCTTTGGACTTTTCTTTGGAAGTCTTTTTCTTCTTGACTCCAAACTCTTTGATGGACTCCGCGGTTGTCAAGGCTTCAGATAGCTCATTGACTTCCCTTCGCTCCAACGCCCTCTTTGCCCACGGCTTCAATCCGAACATGAAGGTGAAGAATCCCTCTTCTTCAGTCAAACTTGGGACTTTGAGCATGAGTCTTCTGAATCGGCTCACATACTCCTTCAGTGTCGCCTTATGCCTGAGGCGCCTCAACTTGGACCACGCCTCCATCCTGGCATACTGTGAGCGAACCTGCTCACTTTGTACCCTCGGCTTGACGACTTTATCATTCGCTATCGCACCGGGTCCTTTCCTGTGCTCGACTGCTTTGACACCCGCAGTCTCGTCACGTCTCGATCCTGGCTTGACTACTTGAGAACTTGTAGTCGCACCATGGTTTCCCCTTGATTCGGCTACTTTGGAACATGTAGCCTCGTCAAGTCTTGCCCCTGACTTGATTGCTTGATCATTCGCAATCGCATCTGGCTTCTTTCTTAGCTTGACTACCTCATCTTCGATAGCCTTGCCTCGTCTTGATTCTTGCTTGGCCGCATTGATCCCATCAATCGGACCAAGTCTTTCCCTTGACTTGGCAGCTTGAACTCTTCTGCCTCCGCCAATGCTTGCTACTCCTCCTTCTCCCATCCTCTCCATGATGGTAGTAAGGCGACGCTTCTCGAGACATCCTCTAATCAAGTGAGGACCATCACAAAAGTAGCACTTTAACTTCTCCTTGCTCGCCTTCTTCTTTTCCCCGGACTTGGCCTTGCCATTCTTTCCCGATGGTTTTCCTTGGCCGCGAACAGTTGTTGGCTCAACTTAGCCACTCGAAGAGCTTTCTATACCATCTCCCCGCTGCACCATTTCCCGGTCTCCCCCATTGTTGCCACTATTCCTGGGCATGGGCCTGGACGACACATTGCTACTTGGCTTGACATCAGCAAGCTCGGTTAGCGTTCCGGCTATAGCTATGGCTCCCGAAAGTCTCTGGGCATCACCTTGCTCTTCCCCGAGCATCGCCCCTGGTCTAAGTCCTTCCAAGAAGGTCTTGAGCGCACCCCATTCACTCATTGCTTCCTTGCATATGAGCAGCTCCCTCTTGAGCTCATCCACCTCGCTTCTCAAAGCCGCTACCTCGG